CGTGAGTAACCATAACCAAGCGCTACATATTTTTACGGTGCTCTATTGCTTTCAAATTTATTAACGTTCTTTGGATTTATTTATATTTAGAAAATGATTTTCAAAGTTAACAAAATATTATATCAAATGTAGAAAAATAATTTTGATTTCATTGACATGGCATTTACTGATAAATTTTTTTTACATTTTTTGCATAAAAAGAATTTACATTGAATATCAAAAAATAATTTTTCTCAGAAATGTAATAGTACGATATTATCAGAAAAAAAGTAAAACTTTTTTTGCCGTCTATAGACCAAAAATATAAAGCTTACATTAGAAGTACTAGTTTTTGCAACGCATAGCGTAAAAATTGCAAGTTAAACAGTTTAGAAAGTAGACGGATGAAGATGAGGCACCGATAAATTCCCTAAGATCCCAAAACGACCTTGCCATGTCACTTAAAAAACTAAACGAAAGTTCGCCTCCGTTTACATACGCGTCGAGAGTCGGCTAAAGCTGCTTTTGCAAGCTCACCAAGTGCCGGCCCAGCAATAAAACAGTATAAAAAGACGCGGCCTGGCTACTCGACGCAGCTGACACTCGATCTTATACTATAATCGAAATAATAGGCAGTTGACAACTAACGCCCTCTGAAAATAACTAAAATCGATCTCTTTGGAGAACATCGTAGATCGGATCAATAATTTTTTCACATAAGATTTTAATATTTTGTAATCAAAAATTAATTTTCTTCAACTAGTAAATTTTCCTTTCAGATACCACACTTCTCTTGCAAAATAAAAATGAGAAACAGCGGTGGAAAAAATACTTTTATTATTCTAAAAGAGATCAAGTTAGCGTATCTAAAGGTGAATTGACTCAAACAAAAAATTTTTTGGAACCACGATCGCTGGGGTCATTTGTCTTATCATCATAGCAATTATTGTATACTTGTGTAACAGATAAAATTCAATTTTATCAACAATTAGAAGTGCATCTTTTTTATCCGGCAACGCCATACGCAACCGGTCCAATAAAACTGCTTACACACTAGTACACTGTACACAAATACTCGGGGCACTGGAGTGTTTATGAAAGTATGCGTCAGCCATCAAAAGATCATCGGCTGGATATTAGCGGAGTAGTGGGCCTTGTCTCTCTCTCTCTTTTTTTTTTTTTTTTTTTTTCACTGTGGACTTCTTGAACGTTTCCACCGGCGTGGAGCCGCTCGAGCATGTATATACGTGCGCCTCATCAGAGCGCGTGTCTTTTAGTATTTCGGCGTCACTCGAGACGTGCATGCACGCCTTCGCTCTGTATCCATCTCCGTGTAATTTGAGGAAGGTGTAGCTATTTTTATGTAAGTAGTAGGTACTTGCATATATTTTAATTATACATTACTCTCATGAGGTGGGTGATAAGCTGTGGCGCTACTGTTGCTGTTTCTGCTTCTCTTGTCGTGCTGATAATCTTGTGATAAGAAAGTGCAGGTTTTTTACTACCGGCTGTTTAAAGCTATCGAGGGAGATAATTCTGTTATAATATTGTGCTCGCAAAAAAAAAGTCAGTGATCCCGGAATTTTGAAAACTGTGACATTGAATTCCTTGTTAATTTCGTGATCAAGAAGTGTTTGAGGTATTTATATGGGGTTAATAGGCGGAATGTTTTTTTTCTCAGTATAGTGTCACGTACGATATCATAGAATCCTACGCAACAATAGTTTATTATTGTTTTGTAAAATCAACTAAGATTTGTCAAAATATGTCTTTTGCATAGATACAGATAATATTTTAGTTGTTCTTAAATAAAACATATGAGTTGAAAAAAGTGTAACTCATAAATTAGAAATGACGTGAAAAAATAGTATCACCTACAGGCTGTACAAATAGCCAGCTGTTATTGTTTGTGCAGTCTTATCAAAACAGACTCCCATTATTAAAAAGAAATAAATTAATATATTATTGTAAAAAAGTTTGGAAACATTTCAGTTCGTCGATTCTCTAAAGATAGAAATTCTCTGACGTGAATATCCGTATTAGAAGACTGTTAAATATTTTTTATCAGAATCAATTTAAAAGTACTTTTTAAGTGTTTCATAAATAATTACATNGCAATTAAATTGTATTAAAATATAAATAAAGTGGATAAATTCCTAATAGATACTTACTTGCATAC